GGGGGGGGGGGGAAGACAAGGAAATAAAAACACAACAAAACAAAACAAAAACACAAAAAAAGAAGAAAAAGAAAAAATGTCTTACCTTTGTTATCCGCTACAAAGACCTCTTATAATGTGGCCCGATGCACAGGCTTCGCTCGCTGCATGCACTTGGGGGCCTCGAGGCCCCTGAATCTGAAACTTTTATCTAAGTTGTTTTTGCCTTGGGCAGTAGCCCTAATAATATAGGGAACCTTTTTCTTGTAAAGAAAAAAGAAAAAGAAAAAAGAAATAAAAAAGAAATAAAAAATAAAAGAAAAAAGAAAAAAAGGAAAAAAAAAAAGGAAAAAGGAAAAAAGAAAACAGAAAAAGGTAACGGAGGACGTTTTTTTTTTTTTTTTTTTGCAGAGAAAAGTAAAATCCAACCCATGTCTTCTTTGATACTCGGACTTTTTTTTGGAACCGATGTAGATAGAGCTTTCGGGGACGTAAACATTTTTTTTCTTTTTCGTTTTCGTGCGTAACCTGGTTTTCATTTGAAAGTCTACCAAAAAAAAAAAAAAAAGAATTGATTTCAATTAAATTGCAAAATTGAATTCCCATTTGAAAAAATAAAAATAAAATAAAAATCCAATGGCCGTGACCTCTTAAGGCTTCACGCAATCCGATCAAAGGAAACAAATGGGGGCATACTCAACCAGGACTTTTTTTTATTTATTAATAATGAACGTAATTGCGGTCAGATTCATCCAGTTCTGGCCGTAAATATGGTCAAATACATTTAACACAGAGCAAGTGTAAACACGCCCTGAACCTTCTATAGCGAAAGCCAACACCCATTTACACCTACTCGCTTTGATCGCCTAATAATAAATGAATTATAAAAGTCCCAACGCTGTTGGCAAAAAAAATAAATAAATAAAAATCTCTAACAGCCCTAAACGGTGCCTTTGAAGCTGACAGTCACCGTCATCCTTTTTTTCTTTTTTTTCTTTTTTCTTTTTTTTTAAATCGTATCGCAAGTACGACCTCAGTTTTCAACATAATTTTTTTTAATGGTTCAAAAACCATCAGGGAAAAAAGATGTCCTTCAACGCCTATGGCACATTGCCATTGCTATGTCATTGAACGTATCTGACCGCAGTTACAGCCAGATTCGGATGTAAATCAAGTCCCGCCCTGAGTTCGATGCCCATCTGATGAAATCCCTTGCAGGAAAATTCGACAAATCGTCACACAGACCGATCCCGACCCCAACCGATCAACCGATCCCTCTTCCATGGGCCGGTTGATTGCTAATGCCCTTGGGAGAAAGTTCGACGACTACTCCAACAGACCGATCCCGATCCCAACCAATCTACTGATCCGTTATTGCCTAATTTCACGCCTGTGAAAATTAATCATGAGACTTTTTACACTCTTGCTCAACACCATAAGCCACGTCCGACACAAAAAAAAAAAATTAAAAAAAAACACGCCCGACAACGGTATCAGCTTACCACGCTTACCTCCGCAGCCCTATACCAACGCTTTCCCATCATTTTCACCTCTCTCTCTCTCTCTCTCTCTCTCTCTCTCTCTCTCTCTCTCTCTCTCTCTCTCTCTCTCTCTCTCTCTC